ATCTTGGGTGGGGGGGCATCACATACCCCACGACAGTCAGTAAGAAGCCTGTGTATACATACGTCAGGCTAAAATCAAAGAGGGAGTAGGGGTCTTGGAGCCCCATTCAACGCCACCTTCTTTATTCGGGCCTCATGGGTGTTTCTGGGCCACTGCTGTGGAACCCCGAGGCCTTCAAGGAACACACTTTGAGAACCATTGCCTTAATGAAGGGTCAGCGCTCTTGGGGATGTCCTTGGGCAGGGATCCACTTGGTCTGGCTTCTCTCTTGGGATTCTGGCATGAGCAGTAACCCGTGGTCACAAACGGTATGTACTTACAGAGAAATACCCTTTTAGTGCCCGACTTTAGATTTTTATGTTGGAAGTGTGACTCAGGTTAAATATAAAATTCATAGCATATCTTGAGCAACTATTTTGTAGTTATCTATATATAAATCTATTTTACAGCGACACAAATAGAATAGATTATGGAGTGTCAGCGTGGAGATAGATTCCGAGTGCTTTTTCACTAATATACCTAATGATTCGTGCTGAGAATATCCAAGGGCTCCACTGTACATTTAAATGGATATAATTAAAATAATGAGCTCTATTTTAAAAAATGATATATGAAAAAAAAATTTTTTTCTTAAAAGAAGTTAGAAGATGCTGCACCACTAATTCAAAGTGATATAAGTACTTCAGTGATTCCATTGTTATTAGGACACCTAATTAAATGCAAAGCACCCGAGAAAAGCAACATTTGGGCTTATAAATCTAAAGCATGAAGCCGGGAGAAGAGAAGTTGCCAGTGTCCTTGGCGCCGTCAAGGCTGGGGGGGGGGGGGCCCGTTGAAAGGACTGTCTGTGGGCGACAGGCTGGCTCCCGTAGCTCCCAGTATAAGAGTCTCCTTTGGGGGCCAGATGGGTGTTCAGAAAGGGGGTCTCACTCCCCCTCGAGCAAGCAAGGAAGGCTTCCCAGAGGCGGTGTCATCGTGCATCAGTGACATTGTCATGGCAGCTGCCATCCCTGCATATCCGCTTTGCCCTGCTCCCTGGCTCATCTCCCACTCCTGCGCTGGCAAGGATCACGGTCCTTCTTGTAACAGACAAGGAAACTGAGGCTCAGAGGGGCGGTCTAGCCCAAGGTCGCAGGGTGTGTGGATGCCCAGACTGTCTGATTCTAAAAATTCCTCTCTCCCACCAGGACATCATGATGGGGGGAAGGGGAGTCCTTGAGAGCAGGAAGGGATACTGAGTCTGTTCAGGTGGGACGGGTAAGTGCTCGTAGACCTTCAGGCTCAACTTCCGAAGGTCGACAGTGAAGAAAGGGGGAGACCGTCTGTTCTGTCCCCCTTCCTTCTTTGTGACCTCAGTTGCGGGGAGGGCAGGCAGGTTGGACCTTTCGCCTCCAGGGAGCCTCTTTGCTGTTCGGGAAGCCTATCTGCCCTGTCGTTGGGGCTTAAGCCTTTGTGCAGTCAGGATCAGGACGAGCCAGGGCCAAGCCAGGGTGAGTCCTCAGCTGCCTGCCTGCCCGCCCAGCAGCCCCCCTAAGACTTGTGGGCCGGCATTCAGGCTCCCGACAGGGTCCCCAAGTTCTGCCCCCGTGGACTGGTTATTAGCATCCGCATGGGAGCAGCTGTTTCAGTAACTGTCAGCTGTTGCCATCAGCGTGAGCATCTCTGCTCTGTGAGTCGCTCTAGACGAGGTCCTGGATTTACATTTTTGCGATCGATCTTCACAAGACCTTTTGAGTGGACATGGCGCTCCCTACTTCACTGATGTGGAAATAGGCTCACTCAGGGTCACCAGCCGGGATGTGATAGTGATAGGATTTGAACCCCTGTTGATGTACAGTCTCCACAGCCCCTGCAATGACGTCTGTACCATGTCGGGCCCTTCCCCTGCGTCCTCTGCATACTTCCCTCCCCTGCACCCCGTATGAGACAGTAGACATGTGTAAACGTCCCCACGGGGGCCAGGTCCCTTGCAGACATTGCCTTGTCTCTGCATCAGAGTGCTGGGGGGCAGGTGCTGTGTTTGTCCCCGTTGTATGTGTGTGAAGACTAAGGCATGGAAAGGGGATTGGAGTCACTTGAACAAGAACCCACAGCTTGAGAGCAGCAGTTGAAATTGGCCGTGGGACTGTCCGGCTTCAGAACCTTCCGTCTGAGTCCATCACATCCTGTTCCTGCCGGGCTGTCCGCTCACCTCTGTTCTGGTGCCCCGGTGCCGGGGAGACCTCCCCCACTTCCCCCAGGATGTCCCCTTCTGTGGCTGGCTGGCAGGTTGTCCTCCCTCCTTAAAGCCATAGCTGCCCCCCGGTAACCTCTCAGATCTGCTGGTCCTGCGGCTCCTGGGGCCTCACTGAGCTAAGAGGCCTTTTGGCCCTGTGACGACTTTAAAGTGGGGGACAGGTAGGCTTGCTCCCTTCCCAGCGGGTGCTGGTCGTCCGCAAGGGGGCTCTAGCTCAAGATAGCCCCCTTGGAGGAAGCCCTGCTCTCCCACTAGCACCTTGGTTCTGAGTCTGTTCGGAATGCAAAAGGTCAAGAGTGGGTGACGTGGGGGCTGCCCCAGGGGCAGGTGGGCAGGTTTCCCTCTGCAGGTTTCCCCCTCAGCTGCAGTGCACTGTGGCTAAGAACCAAGATACCCGCATCCTGTTTTGGTCCCACGTCTTCCTACCCATGTGACTTGGATCAAGTTACTTCTACTCTTCAGTGCCTCCGCCTCCTCGATTGTTCCTGAGATGAAAAGAGTCAGTATGTTAGAACAGCCCCGGGCACATAGGAAGTGACTTCAGGGTTTGTTAAGTCAGTAGAAGAAATGAACACGGAGGCGATCGAACCATCCTGATTTATGTTTCCCCCCTGCGGAGAAGGGCAAATGCTTGGACGGTGTCAGGTAGCCCTGGTGTGGCAGACACCTCAGGAGGAGGCCTAGTGAGTGTTCAAGATGCCGTAGGGTTTGTCATTCTTAATAATAGTGATGGTGGCCATGTCTCGTTAGCTGTTACAGGCCAGCCGCTGTGCTGTGTGTTCTTTTAGTTGGTTGAAATCTCCCAGACAGTCCCGTTAGCTCCGTTTTGCAGATGGGAAAACTGGGGCTCAGAGGTTATAGGCAGCTGGCTGAGGTCACCCAGCAAGGAGGTGGTTGACAGGACGGCCCTGGCTCCTGGCTGGTTTCCCCCCAGCCTGCCACTTCACTCCAGCTGTCCACTGGGGCCTATGTATTAGTCAGCTCGGGCTGCCACAGTGAAAGACTGCAGATGGAGTGGCTTGGACAAATGTATTGTCACATGGTCCTGGAGGGTGGGAGTATGAGATCAGGGTGCCAGCACAGTTGTTTTCTGGTGAAAACCCTCTTGCAGACAGCCACCCTCTCTCCGTGCCCTCCCATGGCGGGGAGACACCTCTCTCTTCCCGTTCTTCTAAGGCCACCGCCCCGTCAGATTAGGGTTCTACTTTTATGACCTTATTTAACCTTAATTATCTCTTAAAGACCCTGTCTCCAGCTAGACTCATGGTGGGGTTTAAGACTTCACCATACAAAATGGGGAGGTGGGGGGACCCACCCAGTTCAGGCCATGACACCTCCCCCAGTGCCTTCTCCTCACTCCCTCCTCGTTAGCTGGGACCCTCCTCCTCGTTAGCTGGGACCCTCCTCCT